CCGGCGTGGAAGGGCCCCCCCCCCGGCTCCGCGTCCCCGCCCTGGGTGGGTTGGTCACGGCCACATTAATTAAACTGTAATTAATCATCATGTCCGGCCGCGATCGGCGCAATTACACTGATCAAACAGAAGTTAATAACGGCGCGCGTCGCCCCCGGCTATCGCTTTTATAGATATATATTTATCTCTCTATATTATTGTTTATTATTTATGATTATTTTATAATCCCTCTGCCGAGAGGATGCGGTGCGGAGAGAAACGCGGCCGCGGAGCCGATCCCGGCGCTGCGTCCCCGCGGTGAGGCCGCTCCGCACTGCCCGAAAGCGGCTGCGGGTCCCCGCAATTTGGGTGCGGGACGCCCCGTCGGGGCGGGGCGGGGAGAGAAGCCGAAGGTTGGGAGCTGCGGGCTCGGCCTTCCCGCAATGGCCGCAACCAGAGCCGGTAATTATTCCTCTTTTTTTTTTTTTTTTTTTTTTTTTTTTTCAGTTATTTATCCCCGCTCCTCCTCCAGCCGGCAGTGAGTGAGACCCTCCGGCGCTGCCACATCTTCTCACCGCTTATTTTCGTGTTTGCGGGTTGGGCTCACGGGTGGGGGTTAAACACGCGCGGTACCCACGGAGCCGCTCCTCTTCGCTGTGCCACCGCCGGCCGCAGCCCGACGCCCCATCCGCACCGGGCAGCTCTCACGTCGAGGGGCTCCGAGGGGCCCAAATCCGCGCCTCCACCGCGTCCCCCTCCGCCGTCCCCGCTCCCGCGCCCCGCAGCACCGCACCGCACCGCCCCGACAGCGCGGAACGGCCGCGGCTCCTCCGCTCCTCGCCGCCTCCGTTATCTTCGAACAGTTGAATTGACTGCAGTTTTTGTCAGTTAATTAGGTTTAATTTACATAATTAGTACAGTATAAAGAGTATTGGGGATAATCAGGAGGTACGTCTCGCTTACTGTGTAAACACGGATTCGGAATTAAAAATCAGATGTAATTAAGGCGTGTGCGCGCGGCTTTTAATTGTAATGAATTTCTAATTAACGCTCAACGATCGCCGCACGCGGGAGCGGGGACGTTTGCGGGGCTCCCCCGACCCCCCCCCCACCCCCAGGGCTGCGCGGTGCGGGGCGGTGCGGGGCGCCCTGACGGGACCCGCGGGCGGTGCCGCTCCCGGCTGAGCCCGGCGGATAATTTCGGTTAAAACTTATGGAGCCGTGGCACGGGGGGGGTGGGGGTGGGGATAAATAAATAACCGCCCGGAGACGGCCGCGGAAGGGCCCTCACTGCCTCTCCCTTTCCCTCCTGGAGGGCTGTGCCGAGATTGCCACATAAATCACGGCGGTCTAATTCAGTGGAAGTTTAATAAACGCCTCCTATTGGAAATGAATGTTCCCCATTTAACAGTTGTATCAGCACCATATAAAACCATGACCCCAATAAATTTAATTTTAGAGGCCGATCAATCCGGGCTTCTCTCCATCGATCCGCAGCGGCTCTGCGTTTACGGCCCCTTCCACGGCCCTTTGCGGGGAGCGAGGGGGGGGGGGGGAAAGGAGCGCTTCGATCACACTCTTTATTAGGAAAAGATTGCTCCGAGAGGCCTGAAAATTAAACGGTGACATTTTAATTACTGGACATTGACAAAGGAAGCGGGCGGCGGCTCTCTGCGGGCCGGCAGCGCTGCGCCCGCCCCGACGTGCGGAGCGCCCGCGGGTGCGCAGAGATACGCAGAGCGGTGAGCAGAGCCCGGGGCCCTTTTCCCGGCACCTGTGTGTGCCCCCCCGGCTGTGTCTCACGAATGCCCCTTCTGTGCTCCCAAGCGCCGTGCATCCCCACTCCGTTCCCCCCCTCTCATCCTCCCATCACCATCTGCTCTCCCCGTTACCCCTCACCTTTCTCCCCCCCCCCTCCCGGTTACCTCCCAGCCCAATTCAGCCCCATCCCGCCCGGCCCGGTGTAGGAGCTGTAGGGGATGCGGAGGAACGCAGCGCTGACGATCGATGCCCGCAGTTCATCGATGGGGTTAAAGCAGCGCCGTGCGCCCGGGGCAGCAATTAGAGGCGCTTCGTCCCCGAGCCGAACTGAACCGGGCCGTGCCGAACCTGCAGCACCCCGACCCGCAGCTCTGCTCCCCCCGCGAGTTGTTCTCCTCCCGCCATCCATCGCCCGGGCCGACAAACCTTGACCTTCCGGCAGGACGAGGGGTTCGCCGGAGCCGCAGAGCTGCGGAGCGCGGAAAGCTGAGCCCATCCATCCATTCCCAGCGCGTTCCGGCTGTGCCCCCCCGCAGGGAGCGCCGCTCCGGGTCACCGCGGCTCCGCGCACTGCGGCTTTCGGCGGAGATCGGCGCGCACCTTCGAGCTTTTGATTTTTGCCTTCTTTCTATTTCCGTCTGCCCAAAATATCTGAACGTGTCGAGTGGTTTTATTTATTTATTTATTTTCCTTTTTCCTTTTCTTTTGTTTTTCAATTATCATTTTGATTTTTATTATTATTATTTTTTTTTTTTTCCAGAGCCCGCGCCGGGCAGCCCAGAACTGCAGCACCCCGAGCAGCGCTCGGCTCAGCCCATCCTGCTGCTTGGTGCCCTAGGCTGAGGGTCCCCACTGAAGGTGGAGGATGGGGCTCCCCAAAACTGGGACTCCGGACCCCTCACGGGTCACGGGGTGCAGCACTGCTGCTCTGCGGGCGCTGTGGTGTTTGGGGTTCAGGTTGGTCCTGCCCGGGGGGGGGGGGGGGGAGCTGTGTAGGGTGGAAGGACAAGGAGGAGCAGGCACAAGTTAGCTGTAGGGATGTGGGTGGCTGTGGCAAGCCGCCTGCGAACAGCCCTGCACAGCATAAGAAGCTTCTGAGCGCCTTTCAGAAAAGTCGGATCCTGAGCGCCTTGCTTTGCAGCTCCCAAAGATGTGGGGAGGCTCCCGGGGTTTGCTTCGGCCCCAGTCCCACCTCCCTGCATCAGAGAGGCAGACAGAGCTCCCTGTGCTCAGCCCCGTCCCTTGGCAGCCCTCAGTGCCACCTTCCCGGCGGGACCGCGGAGCCCCCGCGCTGCTCGCAGGGTCAGTGCCGGCTCCTGGACGGCGGAGGAGCACACGGAGCCCCTCGGAGCTGCTCCACGTGTCGGTGGAGCTGCGCGGTCGGCGGCCGCTGTTTGTCCCTGTCCGGCAGAAGGGACACGTTGGGACCGCGCAGCCTTCCAAGCCGCCTCCTGCTGCAGTTCCCACTTTCTGCTTTTATATTTTGCCAGATGTCTGCCTGCACAAACACACACACACACACACACACACACACACACACACACACACAGGCTGTTAGTCAGAAAACAAAGAGTGACACTTCGCCTTCGGAAAGCTGGCAGCGGGATGCACATGGGCACGGGACGCGAGAAACTGAAGGTGTTCCGTGCTGCCCCGGGCTCGTGGGATGAGCAAAGGTGACGGGCAGAGGAAAGCTGCACGCATTCCAAATCCTGCACAGATTTCACACGCGCACGGTGGTTCATCGCAGAGCCTGCGAGCTCCTGTGTGCGCCCACATCCACGCAGGGCGTTCATCCTCGCTCAGGTGTTGTTCACCACGCACCGCCCCGTGCTGCGGCTGAGCGGGACGTGGCTGCAGCGTGTAACGGCGCTGTTTTCTTCAAGCTTTCCGGCCGAGGAACGCCCCGATTCCGGCTTCAGAAAGCTGCAGAAGGGAGGAGCAGCCCCAGCCCCTGTGCACGGAGCCTGGATGCACCCCATCCCTGCGGTGGGCTTCGGGGAGCAGCGATCACAACCGGATCCCAGCCGGTGCCATCGCTCCCCCCAAGGCACAGCCTTGCTCCTACCGACTTCTTACCTAAACCCGAGGGAGAGACTTTTTAGCCAGAGAAAGCCAAAGCGAACCGCGGGAGATAAACAGGCGAGCTGCCCGCGGTCCCCATGGCTCCAAGGGAAGAAATTTGTCTCACTTTAGAAAAAGGACCTGAAGGTGTGGGGTCCTGTTGACTCATTCATTGCGCTGTTATCTGCCGGGGAGGCGGTGACATCAGAGCAATTAAGATAAACTTTTAGTCTATAAGTTCGTGCCTGCAACCCCTATACTTCAAAAGAAGACGAATGATCCCTCCAAGGAAGGAAGCAAAGTCTTCTCCAAAGGAACATTTACAATTTGCAGGGACTGGGGAGGAATTTTTCACTGTTTTGTTCTTAAAGCTGCTGGTATAGAATGCACTACCTGAGCTTTTCTTATAGCAAAAGTTTATTTCTAAGGCAAAAACGAGCAAAGGAAACCCCCATCCTCCCCCCCCGCCCAAGGTGTGCAGTTTGCTGAGCAAACCCTCAGCTCCCACAGCGCCTTCTGCCGTCTGCTCCTCCAGTGTCTTAACGCAAGGATCGACGGTGCGCCCAGCACACACAGGGATGGCAGGGACAGCAAACACACGGCGCAGATGCTGGAAGTGTTCCTGCTCCACTGGGAGCACAGCCGGGCGCTCTGCACGACGGCAGTGAGTGCTGTGCCCATCCCTGCCCATAGCACACAGGGGATCGGGGCAGGGACACCTGGGCACAGCGCTCCCCCCCCCTGCTCACACTGTGCCCCACAGCAGTGGCGCTGCTGTCGCGTGCCAGGGGCTGCTGTGTGCTCCCAACCACGGGGAGATGAGCCACTAAATGGGACTGTCAGTGAAACCACAGCCTGAGCAGCACCGTCCCTCAGCACAGCTCTGCCCCCGCGATGGGATGCAGCACTGTGCAGCATCTGCCATCCAAGGACACCACGGCCGATGCCCCTGCAATGCTCGTATTGCAGCGGGGTGATGGCCTCTTCCCAGGACCAGCAACTCCACACTCTCCCTTCCTCTTCTTCTTCTTCTTTTTTTTTTTTTTTTTGTCCTTAAAAATACCAAACCCATTTCAAACAGGTGTTTTGTGGATGTCCACACTCCCCAGACAGCCAACGGCTCCTCCTCCAGCCCTCAGAACAGCCTGCTGGTCAGCCATACAATAGCAAAACTAAGTTCAAAAATACTCTGGAGCCATGAAATATACAATACATTCAATAACAAAAAAAAAAAATAGAGATATAAAATACTCGCTTTAAGGCTGTGTACAGTTTAACTGAAGATTAATTTGAGGACATTAAATGAGAGAAACGTGTGAAGGGAATTCCTTAACGTGTCTGCGCGGGAGGGAGGAAGGCAACAACCAACATCCCAAAAGATTGTGTTGCTTTTTAGCACAATATGACCCGGATGGGGGGAGCCCAAAGCTCTGTCCCACGACCCAGCAGCTCACGGTGCGCCCTGCGCCGAGCGCCGCTCCTCCAACGTCCTGCACACCCACATGGAAACCACCTCTGCATGGCCGTCGTTGTACTGCACGATGAACGGGTGGCCCTGCAAACGGGACAGGAAGGGTTAGCCAACAGACACACAGAGAGAGACCCTGAGAGAGTTGATCTCATTCATGTGTTAGAAAAAATACACTGGAAAATTCTGCGGTTGCAATGAAAACGGGATTGCAATCAGTGGGCTTTCAGCTGGATGCATATTGTCCATGTTCATCACTGATACAGAAAAGAGGAGGCTGGAGGACTCCAAACTCTTCACTGAGGTCACTGACCCGCAGGTTTTAAAGGTCCACAATCTCTTAATTTTCTCCCTTTAATGGCCCCTTTGTGCAAATAGCATCACAACACAACATAACCCAACCCAACCCAATCCAACATAACCCAACCAACCCAACCGAACCCAAACTAACTCAACCAAACCCAACCCAATCCAACATAACCCAACATAACCCAACCCAATCTAACATCATCCAACCTAACCCAACCCAATCCAATCCAACCCAACCCAACTTAACGCAACACAACCCAGCAGTAATCCAGCCCAATCCTAAAGGAAATTGTCCAACTGGGTCACACTCCAAAATGCTTCCCCTATCTACGGGCATAGCCTGAATCATGCCACCATGAACACACACTCGTAGCAATAACCTTGTACACATATATTTGCACCCTTGACTTCAGTCAGTACAAACTCCACACCTTGCCCTGTGTGCACCCTCACTCTTAGGGTTGATGAGTCACACAGAAAGTGCCACATCCCTCCAAGTGTTACGTTGCAGCTGCAGCAGGACATGAGCTGTGTGTGGCCTTTGGAGCCATCACTTGACAACGAAACTGAAATCTCACCTATGCACAACCCCAACAGGCCTTCGTGAGAAGCCACTGTGGGCACTCATGTATGATGGAAAGAGGGATGGCTGTACAACACGCTGCCCCATGGAATCGTAGGGCTGTTACTGGCTGAGACACCTCAGAAAATCAGAACAGGAATACAGCGTGCAGTTTCAGCAGCCAGCTTAGACAGCTCAATCTGGCCCCATTCCTAGAGATGGGAACATGCCATCTTCGGATGAATCTCAAATGAAGTATAAAAATCCACAGGAAACCAAGTACCGCAATTACATAAATGGCTGAAAGAAAGCAATCGCCAGGAGAAACCATCACAGATGATGAAAACCTCTCCTCCAAATCACTCAAAAGCAGCTCGGTTTTTGCAACACTAAACTTCACAGCTCTTGCAAACAGCGCCTGAAAGTAACCAGTGTTGATGTGGGGACCCTCGGGGACAGTGATGCAGTGCTGGCACAGCGGCGTTGGGCGCACTGGGGGGTCAGCAGGGCAGGATGGCACCGAGCGGAGCCACGAGGCAGCACCAGGCTGAACACAGCGCCATAAATCCTCGCAGCGCCAGCTCAAAGCAATAAAACACTCTGCAGGCCAGGGCCAGGGAACAGAGGAGCTGCAGGGATAAAACACGTCACGATCTACATGATGGAGGGAGCAAGTGCGAGATGCTTCGACCCTCTGGGATGGCTGCATCCATGATGCCCTTCCATGGGCTTTGGGCAAAGGCAGTGTGAGGATTGGGCAATGCACAGAAGGGGCGATGCACAAGGCAGGGTGACCTCCACGCACGCACAGCAGAGCCCAGCACAAATCCATCTCAGTCCTATGGGGTCCAGGTACAGAGCTGCCTGGGTTAGCAGAGGTGCTGCAGGGCTCACTGCCTTGCAGAAGGACACAGGATTGCTCTGTGCAATCCCTCGACAAGCAGGGCTGGCGGTCACTTGGTCTTTATTCTCACATCACAACCTCTTCTGTACCATCCCAGTGGTACAAATGGGGCTCCTCCACGTGCGGATGGAGAAATAACACAGTAAGAGGCAAGACTTTGCTAACCAACACATAAAGGTGAACTCAGTCACTGCTGGGAGCCAGTTGTTTCCTTCACCTTCAGGAACTCATTCCCACCATGATGCACAGAACAAACATGGAGTCGCAAGAGCTTCCCAAAGCAAAGTCAGCTCCAGGAACTCGCTCTCCCTGCTCAGATTGTCAATGCTTCCCACCAGGCTCAAGTCACCAGCCCCAACCTTTATCTCAGGCCTCTGGAACCGAGCATCGCTCTCTGCCACTGTGATCGATCTTTCTAAATTTGCTCTTTGTAACTGCTGCAGAAATGGATATTTTCTCCCCCCAGCCTTCAATCTTTTTTTCTTTTTGATATTTATCTCTGGGGAAGCAGATCGCTTCCTTTCAGCCGTTCTGGGCTGCAGAGAACAACTTCACATTTGTCAGAGCTCTGAATTTTGCACCCACGTGGACACACGTGAGCTCTGCTTGGGAAATGGCCACCGAGGAGCACTCCCAGGGGTACCACAGCCCATCTGAGAGTCTGACGATGGCAGCAGCCAGCTCGATGCTACAGCAGAAGATGGATGAGCTTAAAATGATGCATTTGAGTACACAGATGCTCGCGGCACTGAGCATATGGACGACGTCTCTTCCTTCCCAACACCTGGCTATCAGAAATCTTTAGCTTTGGTCTTGAATGTCTAACATCAGGAACGATGCTACAGAAAGGCCACAATTTATTCTTCATCCCTTCCTGCACACGCCCTATGGGTTTAGTAAACAAACGCAGTGTGAAATATTGCTGTTGCTTGAAATATTCCTTGATTCTACCCATGGAAACCGTTCGGAAGGACCACAACCTGCACCCCAGGGACAGGATCCTGCAGATATTCCATGTACCATCCAGTGTGACCTCCACAAAGCTGCAGGACCTCCCCCAGCACACAGAAAAAAGGGAATACACAGCTTCTGCTGCCTCACTGAGTGCTGAAAGAATCGGTGTGAGTGTGCTGTGCACAGCACCGCGGTATGGTGGGTGCAAAAGTGCACATTAAAGTAAAGGCTTATTCTAAGCAATACAGCCTAGAGGTACCCGTCTGGCCTCTTAAACAAAAAAGCAGCCAAGGACACCAGTGAGAACTAGGGAGAAACAACGGAGCCCACAGACAAGGAAGAGCAGATGCATTGGGGCAATTAAAACAAAGCTATTAAAGACAGTCCGCTTCTCCCATGAATCTCCTTTACGATGGAGAGGCTCCCTGCAGAGGAAGGCATCTCACGCCTGGAATATCCATGCAGTTCAGCTCCTTGCAACACGCAGGGGAAGAATGCAGGCTACGAGGTGTTTAAGATGTCAGTGAGCCGTGTTGCTCACACCCTCTGCTTTGTTTTGTGGGGTTACTCCATGGAAAACCCCACATTTTACACACTTTTCTTCCTAGAAAGAAGTTTAACTTGAAACCACTGTTTGGTTTCTCTTGTTTTCCACTGTTCCAGAGAAGAATTTCCTCAGACTACAGTGCTAGTAGGACCTGTACTGGTGGGCAGCCCCCAGTGTGCTCAGGTCAGGCACTGACAACTAGGAGGGTGCACCAGGTCCATGCACAGCCTCAAGCCAGCGCTGCTCCTGATACCTGGCCTCGCTCAGCAGCACCTTGCTGCTGCATCACACCTGCAACAAAGAGCAGTACAGAACTGAACCCATGAGCCCATCAGACCTGCCCTAGGCCCACTTGTGGCAAAGTTCCATTGAATCACAGAATCACTGAGGTTGGAAAAGACCTCTGAGAAGACAAACCCAACCCAAGCCCACTGACCACGTCCCCAAGTGCCACATCTCCACGGATGGTTCTGGAGCACCCCCTGGGTTAGGGACCCACCACCCCCCGGGCAGCTGTGCTGTGCAGCACTGCTCTTTCTGAGAACGCATTTTTCCTAATATCCAACCTGAAATTATTGGCACGTTTTTATTGGCAAACTGTGCTTGTGTTCAGTCTTCTCCCCATACTTTGCACAAACGCCCATTTGCAGCAGGGTGGTTGGAACGAGATGATCTTTGAGGTCTCTCTTCCAACTCATTCTTTGATTCTATAAACCCTCAGCACTGAACCCACGTGGCAACCAGCACAGCCAGGAGGCCCAGGCAGCAGAAAACACACTGAAAAGCCCCCAGAATGCCATCCCCACCCCCGCTGGGGTCTGGCACGGCATGCAGCCACTGCTGCAGGAGGGGAAGCAGAGGAGCAGGAAAGGTCAGGCAGGACGGGGCTGCAGTGAGTGTCAGCCCACTTAATTTTGTGTGTCAACGCTGAAAATTAGATAAACAATGACAAACCAGGCTTTTTAAATGAACTTGTCTCATCTCGTTCCTTTGATAAAGGGTACGTTCCCTGCGCTGCGGTGTCCCACCAGACAGCTTAACTCTTTCCAAGGGAAGCGCTGCGCAGAGGGGGAGAGAAAGGATTTAAATATCTGACATGAAATTAAGAGGGCAGTGCCCCCCTGAGCACACAGCCCTGGTAATTCCAACCCATTGCCCACGCACCATCAATCATTTAGCCCAGTCAATTAAACGGCCATTATTCAAGGGGAAAAGTTCCGTGGTTTCAGCCACACTTTGCACTCCCACAGAGGGGCTCCTCTGCTACACGACGTGCTTGGATGGCACAGGGATGGCACAGGGATGGGCACACCACCATGGCTCTCCAGCCATCCCGGAGCTCTTCACAAGCACAAAGCACACAGCACAATCCTCCCAGCGCTCTCTTTTAAAGGCCCCCTCCTCCCCCCAAGGACTACGAAGTAGAAGGACTGTGCCCCATTTATTACAAAAAGCACCGACAAATTACTCATCTCCTTTAAAAAACTGAATTGGGCATCACACACACACAAAAAAACCATAATAAAAAGACCCCAACTGTTGCAGACACGGACTATCAAGACGATGGCAGTGCCCTTAGACAGCATTTCAAATACAGTTTATTAGCGTGTGATATGAAAAGGGTATTTTTATTGCATGATATAATGCAATGGGACCTTGGGCGCTCTGCAGAAGGACCTTGCACTCAGAAGTGTAATGAACCCATAGTCCAAAAAACATTATACTGTACATTAACCTATCATTAATGGCACATTAGGGCTAGGGGCACTGCACGCTTGCTGGTCAGGGCTCCATCAGGACAGTATGGAGGA